GCCTGGGAAGGATGAAAGGCTGAGTCAACCTTGAGCCGGTGAGACTTGAACTGTCGAACTGCTGGCAGCCAGCAGTCAGCAGAAGTAGCCTGCAGTACTACATTCTAACCACCATCCATCTCATTATCAAGTGACTATGGGTGGCATTTATTTTAATTTAATGTTGGTTTAATGGCTATGGGAACTGAAATGCAATACATTTGGAGAGCACCAGAGAGTGGGGAAGGCTTATTCTGATCATTCATTTAGAGCCATGATGGCGCAGTAGTGGTGCAGTGGTTAGAATGCAGTAATGCTGGCTGACTCTGCTCACTGCCAGGAATTCAGTCTTGACAAGGGTCAAGGTTGACTCAACCTTCCATCCTTCCGAGGTTGGTAAAATGAGGAACCAGATTGTTGGGGGCAATATGTTGACTCTGTAAATTGCTTAGAGAGGGCTGTAAAGCACTGTGAAGCAATATACAAGTCTAAGTGCTATTGCTATTCATTTTATTTATTTGAAAAATTTATATTGCTGCCTACTTACTCCCAGATGACTCAAGGTGGCTTACAAAAAATAAAAACACAATATAAAAGAAATAAAAAATAATAAAAAATAACCCCCACTCCCCCCATCCCGCGACAACACACATACCAGCCATTTAATGGGCTCCATCCCGCTCTGGGTTCCTTAGGCCCACTGGCAGAATCATGTCTTCAGGGCCTTCTGAAAAAGTGTCAGAGTGGCGGCTAGTCTAATTTCTGGAGGGATGAGGTTGCAGAGAGAGGGAGCTGCCATGGAATGGCCCTTCTTCTGGGTCTTGCCAGATACATCTCCTTAGGGGACAGGACCTGCAACATTCCTTGCCTTCTCACTCTAGTGCAGGGGTGTCAAAATGCCGGCCCATGGGCTGGACGCGTCATGCGGAAGCCGCGCCTACCCCATTGCCGGCAATGGCAAAACTCTCCCGATACGTTGCGCGACGTCACGTGACGTCACAAGCTTGACATGTCTGCTTTAGTGGGTATGGTGGATGTGACTGGCAAGAGATGGTTCCTGGTTTCAAGTCCAGGCTGATCGCCCTGATATCATGTTTTTCCAAAAATAAGCCCTAATGCATCTTTTTGGTGCCAAAAAATATATAAGACCGGTGTTATTTTCAGGGAAACACGATAGCGCAGGGATGTCCAACCTTGACAACTTTAAGACTTTTGGACTTCAACTCCCAGAATTCTCTGGCCAGCTTAAATATAATTTTAGTATTTTTAGTATTTTCAAACAATTTTAAGACACATGAACATATATACAAAATGCTGACAATTAGGAACAACTTTATCAATATGAGCAATAACAAATTTGTTTGCAAAATCAGCAAACTGATATTCTGAAATTTTGTGAGGCCCCATGGATTGTGAACCCTTAAAATGTAGGTTGCTTAGTTTTTTCCTAAATCCAGCACTGCCTTCAAGACTAAGCTATCCTCACTGTGTGTTGTTTCCTCCTTTTTGAGGAGGGGTAGGTTTCTGAATGAGGATTACTTTTCTAAATGTGGTACCTTGCCAAGCAGAAATTTGTCAGGCATAGTCTCTTCCCTGCAGGGTGCATCTGTATGATCCATTTGCTGTATTTCTATCTGTTAAACAGTTCTCACAGTACACATGAAGACAGTCTGAATCAGTTTTGCAAACCGCACTTTTGAGTAATGCTCACAGGGAATTGTACTTAGTCCAGTAGAAGAGGAAGACACTAGACCAGTGGTGGCGAACCTATGGCACGGGTGCCAGAGGCGGCACACAGAGCCCTCTCTGTGGGCACACGCGCTGTCGCCCCAGTCCTAGGCCTTCAGCTGGGTTTTATAAAACCTTTTTGCTTTAGGCCTCCGCCGCCGTGTACAAAAAAAAAAAGGTTCAATCAGTCAATTTCCACCTCACGGAAGAAAAAAAAAGATCTTGCAAAGTTGGAATTGATTGAACTTTTTAGTCCCACCCAGTCTGCTGTTACCACCGCAGCCACGCCCACCCAATGGGCCACCCCTACCCAGCACCGGGGTATAAGTGGGTTTTGGGTTGCAGTTTGGGCCCTCGGTCTCTAAAAGGTTCGCCATCACTGCACTAGACTGTGGAAGGCTATTCTCCTTACTCACCCTTGAAATAAATTTGGTCATAATTTCCCCTCTCAGGCTGTTTGAATCAGCTGTGAATATTGTTGATACAGAACAGAAAACCTGAAGGGACCCATGGAATCACAGCTACTTGGATTTAAAATTAGTCGAGGCTGTACTTCTTTGTGAGACTTAGATTAACCCTGGACGAGTTAATGAAGCTACCTCTCGCGTCTCGTGTGGACGAGTCCGAGTCCTTCCCAGGGTCACTGCGTGAGAGCGCGAACGATGCGAAGCAAGCTAGCTCGCTCACTAGCAAGGCGGACCTTCGGAAATTCCTAGGAGGGAGAATAGCGGCGAAACCCCGCCTCTTCACGAGGCGGGCTTCTGCAGGCTTTATGTAGTCTTGCAGAAGCGGCGGAGCTCAGAATTGCGGACCAGAGGGCGCTTTTCCTTGAGCGGCTAAGGGAGGTGAGCGTTGCGTCTAACCTACATTTTTCCCCGTCTGTCTCTAGGGAGGGTGCTGGGCTATCATCAGCGTTGTATGGGCGTGTTGTTCGGATGTATTTATGGTCCCTTTTTATAGGAATATCTAAAGTTCTATTTATCTCCCTACCTGGGCTGGGAGAGCTGTTTAGGCAATTCCAGACGCGTGCAGGTACTGTCAGGGTTTTTTTTTTTTTTTTTTTT